ACGCTAACCTTGCTCAACGCGACTTCTGGCGTGGAGGACAGGAAGGCAGGTGGGGAGGCGGTTATTGCTTGGAGGGAGAGTCCCCCTCCCTACAGGAAGCCACGCCCACATATCACGGCAGGGAAAATGGCCGCGGATCCTGTTTGTCACCCGATCCGGCGTTCACGAACGGAAGCAAAATTTTGTGAACAGTGCTGTTCGTGACCCGAATTGGTCATGAACAGAAGCGTTCATGACCTGAGGTACCACTGTATTTGGGTTCTGACCACATATACGTTGTTCAAATGTATGGATCCCAATGGGCCATTCATCTAATGTGTAGTTCAGGATATTGATCTCTCACTTTACTATACAGCTGGCATTCAAATAATGTATGTGCTATGTCCTCAATCTCAGGAGCATCGCAAATACATTTCTGATAGGGAACTTGGTTAAACCTTCCATATTTAATCACTGTATCTAACTGCTCAAATCTCACTCAAGTAAATACCTTCCTGAGATACCTGAATATTTTTGTATTTAGGTATTTTTCAATTTGAAAGGTGTGTTTATAGCAGCTCATTCATTTCAGTGTGCCAGCCTTACTGAGCTATATCTCTGAGCTTTTATGTCCAAGATTCTTTGTGCGGCAATCTTTTTAATTTGTTGTCCAGAGACAGTTGGACAAGAGATAGAGAGGCCATAACTTCTGATATAATTTGTAAATTGTACAATCTAAGAGATTTAATTTGGTCTATCAGACCCAATTTTGGGAGTCTATCGCTTTCCATAGAATTAATTCTCCACCAATTATATGCCTTAATTTTTGACAAAGAATAGAATATATACTGTATATTCCCAATCTGGCTCTAACTGCAGCAACTCAGTTTCATATAACATTTAGAAAATATACAGTATTTCAGAATTTGTACTGCAGTTTGACATAACAAAGATTGTGATTCTATAAAATCATGTTGAGAATTAAGTGACCATGTTTTCTTTATTTTATCTAAGGTTCTAGGTCTCAAAAACAGAGCAGCAATAAATACTAAAATTTCTAAAAATTGGCAACCAAGTGTAAACAAACAAAATAGTTATAAAATTAGCAATCTATATCATTTTGTGGTAGCAACAACATTTTTAATAGTGCATTTTCCAGAAAGATACAGTATCTCAGTATCTTCTCTAGCACTGTACTCGCTAGAGAGCATGAAAATGCAAACAATATAGACCCAGGATTGCAAATTCCCCTTTATACTGTGCAAAATTTCACTGATACAAAAAAGACTCCAGTTCCTGCAGAAACACAGAATTTTGCTAATATCCTACCACAGATGAGAGCTTTTGGCGTAAGCAAGCATTTTCAAAGTGAGCCAACTCCACTTCTTTCTGCAGCAGCATTTTGTCATCAGTAAGTTTCTGAGCTGTTATCTTGGCAGAATTGAGGGCCAGAGCCAGTGCTTTGTTGTTCTGTTTCAGGGAGACCTTAATTATAGAGGAATTATCTATACAGAAAAGAAAAGAATTAGGGGATGTTGCTGTTGTTGTCTTTGCCACATTTTAATCCCCTATCTAAAGTTTGGCAGCTCTGAAGTCTGTTTCTTTGAGATGAGTTTCCCAGTCTCCATGCCAGCACCTTTCCTCACCTGAAGTTGTTAATGGCTTAGGTTGCCAGCTTTCCTTCCTATCAATGAGTGAGTTTTCCTTTTGCTCCACTTTGTGGTTGTTTCAGGTATAGTTAAGTGAAACCTCTGTAGTAGTCTTTCAAGCCAGGTCCCCCAAAGCTATTCACTCTCAGAAACTCTTTCAGGACCTTGATCAATTATAACTGGATTGTACAGCAAGTTGCGATACACCTGGCAAGGGGAAATAAAGGATCATTGCCAGGTTGGCTGGAGCTTACTTCCTAGGCAAACATGGCTTAGGTGGAAGTAACATTTGATTTCCCAGACATGCATTTTAGCCTTAACTCTGAGCATGTGACAAGTCAGTCATATAAAGTCATATATAAAGATATAGTTTATACTAAGAGCCAAAACAGAGTATTTAAACTTACGTAGGGTGGCAAGTCTATGCACCATTGCCCTGCCCCAAATATTCCTTGACATACCTCCTCCTGCAGCATTTCTCCCTGCAGGGGGGGTACTACTCAAGATCAAGCAATCAAACCCGTTTGAGGCCTCAATGCTCAAAATGAGAAGGTGAAAAACCCAGGGAGGAAGATACCACGTCTCTTATGGATTATTTAACACCTTTTCAACTGATTACTTGCAATTCTGCTGCAAACTAGCACTGCTCACATCTTCAGTATGCATTAACCAAGGCACGAAGAGTAGCATTTTTTCCCCTAATGGCAAAATAGATTAATATAAAGCTGCCTTAATCAAGTCAGGCTAGGCCAGTGCTAGATACTATGAGAGGCAATAGGTCTCCAATTTCTCAACATCTGGCCCTTCCCAGACTGCTACCCAATGTCTTTTTAACTGGTGACTGGGCCTTGATCTTCTTCATGCAAGGTACCTGCTCTACCTTGGAGTTTTGAACCCACACCTTATATTATGAACTAGATTCTCACTGGCCTCCTTCTGTTCATACATAACAATAAATCATACAGAGCAAAGCAGCTGGGATCACATGTCACATTGTGGCATATTGCGATATTTAAATCCAATCACTATCTTTCTAGAATTTCAGGCAGGAGTTTTTTCTGCCCTACCTAGATTATCTTGACAGAACTGGGGATCATCCTCTTGCAAGGTATATGCTCAATCACTAAGGTATAGTCTTTTCCCAAAGCTACATGGACACGTGACCAAGTCTTCACTAATACTGCCATAGTTTCTGCACTCCCATTTTCCTTAAATACACTATGATTTTAATTAAATTAAAAGGAAGGAAAGCATTCCCTAAATCAGAACAATGCAATTGCACATTTATGTAACACCCCTGTATTACTCCAACATGCAACCTGTGTGCTGAATAAGTCAAGAAAAATAAAAATGCTACAAAGCTGAACTCTAGCTGTGTCCTATAAATATGTATCAATTGATAAACCTCCTTGTCAGTTAAAGCAGTGGTGGGCAACGTTTTGTTGGCCAAGGACTTCATGTAACATAGGGGGAGGGGGAAATGATCTAAGAAGTAGGTGGGATCATTTCATACATGTGGGCAAATGTGCTTTTTTAAGGTGAATGTGGGAGCTGTATATATATA